TGGTTATTGTCTCAGTTCTTAGAAGGTGAAGAGAGATGGGATGTTATTTCCTTTTATATTGAAAAAAATAATAACCTTGTGGTGTAATACATACTAATTTAAAAGTTGCTTGTTATTAAATAACTTCTTTTAATATTTTATGGATTTATTTTTGATCATTAGTTTTAAATTAAGATAACTTGAGATATATTATACCTGAAAAATTTTAATTTAAAATTTTTCGGTTAAAAAAATATTTTGTAAAAGAGCCGCCCGGCCGATTCGAATGAGGATTAAAATTTTATTATTTTTAAATCGACCGTGCTCGGTGTGAAATAGGGCCCTAAAGAAGAATCGGCTTGGCCGGGCAACAAAAGGAGCAATCCTTCTGAAATGTCAGAAGAGGGTGGTAGGTATAATGTCACGAAGCTCATTTATCTGTCCGGCAAAAGAGGGATGCATTGTACCTGGGAGGGATTAGGAGGGCATAATGCTATGAAAATATTCGCCGGATGGTTTGATATGCTGAATAGAAACCTAGGTAAAAACGGCTTACGTGTTACGGACCGGGTAAATGTTACCTTATACGTTGCTAAATTACACGCTACCTTGGTATGCGTACATGTGCGATCGCTATCTTGCAAATTTTATGGTTTAAATCGAAACTCCTGTTACGCCCTGTTCATTTTTTCGCTGTCTATAGCGACTCCCATCATTAGAATACCATATCGCTACCAGATTACAGGTAATTACCTAGTAATTAATAAGGGCATTTTTATGTCTTATAAGTTAAGATCTATTAGATACCGAACAAACAAGGCAATGAAATATAATTTACGGTAAAGTTTATTCGATTAAACATACATAACAGATTTAAGAAAAAGATGTTAATTATATAGTTATATTAAACGAACCTCGTTAAACTGCACCACGCACATTTGCGTTTCCTAAAGAGGCGGAACAAAATTTTTTCAATGATTTCAATGTTGATATAAAATAAATTTAAAACACAAGTTATTTTTTATTATACTAAATCACGTTTAATACCCTTTGTTGTAATAAATAACATTTTGTGGTATTTTTGTAAATACAACTAATGGTGTCAAACATATTATTTGGGTGAAGTGTTTACAAATAGTTTCGTCCAACCCAAAGAACGCCCTTCGCCCGTCCCAAAAAAAAGTATAACCTTACCTTCTTGACATTAGGGTGCTGATGAAGACCACCACTATTAATATACACCCTTGAAACGCACTTATTAATAATGACTACAACGCATTTCCGTTCTTGTAGTGTTTTAGATGTTGAGAATATTTAGGTAGGTAAGATATTTTCCGGTTTCGAAAATTTTGTTTACTTTGTGAAGTTGGTATCAACGCGTCGACTCCATTAACTTCTGAAAGCTCCCGGTTTCTGTCAGCTCTTAAACTATAGCAGCCGCTTGATGGAAACCAATTTAAGAAGGAACACTCCAATCTACTCCAAAGACAGATGGCAACCATTTTATAAATAAACACTTTGATGTTCCGTTTGATATTAAAGTTCGCGCGCGTTTAGTGGAGACGTATTTATTACTGAAACGAAATATGTCTAAGTTTATCTACGGAAATGGCGTTGCTCCGGATACTTTGTGACCTACTATTTGTTTTCCGCTGGAGGCGTTACGTTCGCAGTCCACTAAATGTATCGATTTCCATTGTGCCAAGCTTCCAATATCTTTGTCACTAAGACGCTCGAATGTGTACAAAAGCTAAATTAATTGTAGTTGGGAATACAACCTCGATCTCCATCCCTCTAAGCGTTTAAATAAAGGGACCGTTGATCTTTGTGAAGGTGTAGAATATTTATTGCTTCAACGTTTCTGAATACTCAGTAGAATTTATGTCTTACCTGAACTCTATTGTTTTGAATAACTAAAATTACATTTAATTAACTTAACTAAATCAAGGAAAATTAAAATTTAATCTAAAATTTAATATTAAATTCACTACATGTTGAACGTTCAATTCAGCGAATTATCACGAAATTTGAACTAACTTTCTGTACTGTCAATCATCCAACACCTGTATATACGTGATTGAAACACACGATCCAAACGTATTGCTGTCATAGTAATAACCAGAACCTGATAACCAAACTACTCAATTTCCAATTTTTAATCTACCAACTCCCTATTTGATTACATTTTAATTATTCCCTGTAAACATACTAATATACGACAGGAAGAAAAATCCACTCAAAATACCATTAACGTCAGAAATCTCCTAAATAAATATGCCAGTAGAAAATCAATACAACAGTTTTAACGAGTATATCCGTTAAGTAGCTAATAAAACGTCAACCATAAAACGGAACAATTTGGTGTTTTAGCATCCTACCCGCCGGCGCCAGGTAGTAGACATGTAAACATAATTTCAAGACACAGGTATAATATACGTTTCAATGTGAAACAAAACAATTTTTAGATCATTACAATTCGGTTATACGCTTCGGTACTTAACGTTATTATGGGTTCTATTATTACCGAACGTGCTTCTGAAATCCATTAATAAGACGAATATTATGTGTTTATATGTTTTGATAATTGAAATACAATCCAACGGTTATAATCTGCATGTTAATGGAAGTAGAGATATATTAACCCCTACTGTATGGAGTTAGGGGCGGAATATTGATCCAGTAAATTGCCTTGTCTTCGACAGCAGTGTCTTCATTAGCTGGTAGTATATATGGAGTTAAGTGATTGATATTGACGTCCATTTCATATTATCGAATGTCGTGCGAGTTAAGAAAAAGAATCTTTAGTATTTCAAGTTAATACAATATTCAGAAATTTGTATACTATTGTATTTAGTTGTAGTAGAGTAAGTGTTTATCAATAATTTGGTTGTAAGAAACATAATATGAATAAAAAAATTAATTATCAAGCTAATGTAAAACTACAGGGACGTGAATTTAACTTGATCATGGACTAATTCACTTGAGAACCTGTTGGAATATGCAAAGTTAGAAAACCTAACTGTACGGTCGATAATTTTTGGTATGCCCTTTTACCATGGCCTAAAACTTTTCACCGGTTGTGCGAAATTTAATTTAAGCGCTCCAGAACTTCGAGTCCCTATTAGTTGCCGGGTTATTACACACCTTTAAGGTTAAGTACTCGAACGGAAGTGCTAGGAGAAATATATGGAAGTCAAAAGGGGCGCATTGCGAGCTAACTTTCAATAGATTCGCTTCAAGTACTTAGCGGTCCGTAAGAGTGTATAACTAAAAGTCTCCGAATGTCTCTGTCGTCGCACGAATAGTAATGTTCGGTAATTATTGGGCGTCGCGCCTGTTTTAGTGTCCTTTAGGAGGTCTTTACTATAAATAAGCAGGCATTCATTTGCATTGTATGGCCATTGAAACCGGGGGCTTGTGTAAGAGCGCGAGTTCCGAATGGGGTCATAAATAAAGAAGGACCCATAAAATTATTTTCAAACCACTACGAGAATTTTATCATTTTTAATGGTAGGTCACAGATTTTTGATTAGATTTATTTTTGTTATTTTATTCAAGTAGTAATTAAACGATTTCTCTGAAGGATACGTCTAGTTTTTCTTTCGAAAAGAAATGGAGTAAAAAGAAAAGGTGGAGGTCTAGTCTATTGACGCATTTCTTACTCCAACGCTCATCTTTCTTCCGGTCTACCGCGCTTCCTGGTTATTTATCTACCGTACGATGGACCTAATACACCGAACTAGTTCTCTACGGGTTCGTTCCCGTTCGAGCTTTGCTCTTTTTGCGGCCGGACCTGTTTCGAAACATTGATGGAAATCTTCAATCAGCAACTTGAACATCTTCCAGTTACCCGAGAAATTCCGAATGAAAACTCCCTCGTCGCAGCAGATCAATATCTCTTTTAGAACTTTTAATGTGCTCACTGTTTCAATTACTTGCATTCGAATAAGTTTCCTTGGACTTTTTCTAGGTTTAATGCGAATCTTTTCTTACCGATAAAATATCAACCTCAATTTAGGTTTGTTTAAGCCATTACAAAATTAGTTTTAATGATACCATTTCCACAATGTTGATGGTACTGTACCTTGGCACAAGATTAACAGGTCCAAGGGAAAGCCCATTTCCGCCAAGTTACGCACTCAAACTATAATAAATCTCCAAAATTTGCGGATACCAAGTCACAAATCTTGGAGTGCAGGTGCGCTTCCATAAACCTCTCTCCGTTTGCCGTTTATTTCCCTTCCCGGTCTCCAGAATACCGCGAGACGTCTGGAACAATATTGCCAGGCGGCTTAAACAGCAAAACAACTTCACCGCTGTATACAAAACCTATCGCTTAATAATTGAAGCTCTAAAGTAATTTACGGTGCTCCATATTACGCGGTAATTGTCCGCAATATTTCATATGACTAACTTTGCAAATACATAAAATTTGGATAGTATATCACGGGATATTGCCGCTTGGGCGCCCTCACGTTTGCCCCCGGCTCCCTCGCTTGCGATTTATTAATTTAAAAAGAGGCTATGCTTCAGCCGCTTCTTTGTGTGGATGATAGTAGATCCTCGAGCAGGGCTTCCAAACAAGGGAGATTGAATTTTAAATTAAACTGTTGATTACTTTGATATTTTTCCTGATTTTCCCATGTCTTGTCGATCTATTCATTGCGGTCTTTCAGTGAAACTCGGTATAAATACACGAAATAAAAGATATTCCTATAAAAGTACTATTTTCTTTGTGCGAAGATTCTCCCCAAGTTGCTCGTTAGAATTTTTATTACCATTTTAATTAATTGCGTTCAGAACAGATTTTGTGTGTACGCAAACCAACAAAGCACCAGGGTTGTATACTGAGACCCTTAATGTTTCGCTTTAGGATAAATAGCTGGGGCAGGATTTAAATACCCTCCGACGAATCTCAGCAGCCAATTTGGTTTGCAAAAACCAGAGAGGAGTAGAGGACCCTAAATAACATTAAATGAATGTATTAATTAAATTTATACATATTAATATTTTTGTTGCAGATCCGCACAAATGGAAATTCAACTTGATTTATAATCAGAATCTGACACAAAACTACGTATGGTGGAAATAAATTAAAAAAGGTAAGTTTAAAAACTTTGAATCAATAATTTTTGAAAGAGTTGCGTTACCGCTTAATTGACAAGAATGTTTACCTTTAGGCAAATTAATGCAAAACCGGTCCCCTTTCGAATTTCGTTCGATGTTGACGTACGTAAGTCTTAAAACTTGCTTGTGCTTGGTCTAATGGAAATTCTATAACTTTACTTACGTCAACAAGGAAGTTTGCGAAAGTAAACACCTTCCCCTAGGCTATAAAAATGTTAGCTAAACTTCATCGAGACGTCATTGAAATTTAAATAAAATAAATTTGGGTGAGAAACTATTACTATTATGGCCTGAAAAACACACAAACGAAGATATAGTTGGTGGGTCGTAAAAATACCGTCGTGTGGGCCAACACTAACGAGGTTTTAATACGTTTGAAGAGGCACTTTTCCGTAGACCGGCTTGCCGTCTACACCAGGAGATCAAAAGACACTGCAGTGCCGTGATGAATATTTAAAATCTTTACGTAAGTGCCGAGTCACATACGTACATACTAATACAAAAGTGCGTTTACACACACAAACGTTTCGGTTAAACTCAAATCGACACACATACAAGTGTTCCCTGCGCGCATTAATATGCAAAGAAACGACGCCAGTATCCTTTGATACGGGCTTCCTTACATTCTAATTAAAGATCATCCGGTTTAGTTGCTTGTTTTGGCACATTTGAAATTTAATTACGAATGCGTCACACGTTTCCTTAACTACTATGAATCAGATACGTTCCGACGTATATGGTTTGTGGGACACGAATATTTCTTGCGTTATTACTGTACTAAAATAAGCGTGAAATTGAATTCTTAAATGTACATCTACTTTGCCTGATATTTCTACAAAAGGCTTTTACTGGACTTTAAGGCAAACATTTAAATTTTTTATTGAAATTAGATAAAAAGGAATCATTTTCTTATAATGTTGACTGAAACTGTGTTGACATTAGGTGATAAAAATTGTTATTCATGATAAGGGTACATCTAGACGTGAAATATAAGTAATATAAATACAGTGAATTTCACTTAAGATCCAATTTACTAAAATATATTTCCATACAAACCAGGGTGTACCTACTTACTTTGTCCCACATAAAATGCAACATATCACTAGAACTAACACAAGACCTAGAACTAGACTCATTTGGATTTAGCCGTCTTGAGAGACGCACTGATAACCCGAATGTTTCTAGGTCTAATATTAATTCTAGTCTTAATTGTTATTCAGCGTTAGATTGTAATATATTTTTATTGAACAAAAAGTAGAACTAACACTAGACCTAGAACTAAGTATCCAACAAAGTACACAAAAGAAAGATGTCACAAATCTACAACAAAAATCTATATAGGTGTATCTAGGAACATCGTTGAATAAATAAAACGAATCCATAGCATGAAAAGCGATGAATAATGACCGTCCAAATATATCGGTAGTCCCCAAAGGATTGTTTTTGGTAAATAATGGATGTGTTATTGGCCCATATGACAAATCGTATGGGTTGTTATGTCGTTATCATTTAATTTATCATAATCTACATAGAGAGCCGCAGCGGTAGGAATATTTGCTTGGAGTACGACACGCAAGACGAAAGTTAGGGTAGTTTTATTAGGACAAATCAAACTGACTATGCTTATGATTGACTTAGTCATTAGTCCATCATAAATTTACGTAATGCATTTACACAGTTCACGATTTCCATCTATTTTATTTCATAGAATGTTGCCCATTGAACATAAATAAAATTTATACAAATTGAGCTTTAAACGTTTTACTTTCAAGTTTAATAAATGAATTCCATTCAATAAAATATAATAAACATATCAAACAAAATTGTTTGAAAATATTTATGCGGATGGGATTCATTAAAAAGGTTAATTGTATATTGATTTGGTAGGTTTATTCACTCATAGACAATACATAGACGACATCAAATAAATAACAGTACGGTATTTATGCTTTGTAACGAGAAAATACTTCTCGTATTTATAATTATCGGTAATTAAATACAATTGCGCGTTTTTATTGAAACAAATTTACCCTAAAAATATATATTCCGTTAAACATTTATATCGCAAGTGATATAGCATGTTACCGTGTTGCGGTATTGTGGCTTCTACTATTTTTATTTCGTTGAATATCATTTATTTTACAATTGGTGGTATTTGTTGTATATTCTTTTGTGGTTACCGCAACCCAAAGAATGTTTTATTTACGGTGTGGTCGTTCGAACCGACACGTCGTCACCGCTACTATAAATTTTTAATTTAATTGATACATAGGTTCTATCGTAAATCGTTATTTTTATGTTGTATCAATTTGTTTTTACAAAATAAAACTATCGTTGCTTTGTCAAGAATGCAGTTAAATTTCAAACAATGGGTATTGAATTGTTTTATATTAAACGTAAAATATTTTTTATGGTTATCAATGTTATTTAATATTTAAAAAAAAATTTAATAAATCGCGATTTTAATGAATCATCATGAAAAAGACCGCTTTACAAAATAACTTTTAGTTCTTAAGATATTAATTCTTAACGTCAATCAACTTCCTTTCGCTTTTAGATTTCTTAAGATATCGTTTTGCACTTTTCAGAAATCGTTCAAAAAAGTCTCATCTCTTTATTTTAAACAAACCAAATGAATTTTTGTAGGATTACAAAACTTTTCTTTTAAACTTTAATATAAAATGTGAATTCGTATTGATACCAAGATGTCGAGTTCTCAATATCGCTGAGTTCAAAAATATCATCTCTGGAGTCAAAACTACGGGAGAGGGCCCCCCTTGGTCCTTCGGCCTAGAGATCAGAGATCCCAATCACATTTGACGGTGGTTTATTCCCAATGTGACCACGTTAGGAGGCCGACATGAATAGGACCCCGAATGCATGTATGCGCCGGTCGATCGTGCATGTTGATTCAGGTGTCAGGGTGGCGGGTTTCGGTCTGAAACTGAAAGACGAGGAAAGTCCGTCGAATAGAGGGAGATGGTAAAAGTCCACGGAGTATTACCCGGAGTTTAGGCAGTGGTGGTAGGGCGATGCTCGCGCCCGAAGCCGGACTCGAACTCCGTCACAAGCTCAGTTCTGTTCCAGACGCGATCAGGCACGCTCGAACTGGTGACGGTCCGCTGAACTCGTCATTTTTCCAATTCGTTATCGCGAAACGGAACGAAATCCCACGCTTTTCTGCGTAACTGTAAACACGAGACGGTTCATTCTGTTTTAAGAACATTTTTTTAGTGAATTTCAGTTTTAGTTTTGTGCGACTATTTTATATGGTTAATCATTAGTGACTAGGTTAACTTTTAATATAAACGGAAGTGTTCTGGATTACAAATAATTGATTTAAATGAAATGTGAGTCGAAATTATTTTATATAAAAAATTGTATGCGAGAACGTTTATTTTGTAACGAAACGTAAAATTTAATGTTTTTATTCAACCTATATATCATTCAATATTACATTATTCCAACCTATACGGTGTATTCCATTCGAATAAACAAAGTAAAACATTTTTTTAATTTTTTTGGGGAGCACAAAACCATGAAATGAAACCAATTTACCACTCATTTTGATAACGTTTCTTGTTGGAATGTTTCTTAGTAATTTGTAATCAGTTTACATAAACAGTTTACTTTCAATGAGTTGTACTTTGATCTTATTTTATCAATGTTGCTATACTTAATATTAATCTTATGCTAATATTATTCCAAGTAAAATGAACAAATACCTAGATTGTAAATAAGGTCAATCGTAACGGTTATTGTCACGTACATAAACTATCGATTGTTGCGGCTAACATAAAATTTATCTACACAGTTACCGGTAGTAAACATAATAATTAGAAAGTAATGTGCGTCGAATACAAAGAATTGTTGAATTGAATACTAAAATTTCTTGTTGCTGCAACTCTTTCTACCACCCGCAGATACAAAAAACGAGTTTTATTCCATACAATAGCGGATGGACGAATGAGATCGAGGTGATTTGACGTGTACATTCGTACAAAAGCGGGGCTAAAACGTATATCTACACACGCCACCCCATATTATGACCTGAACTACCTGAGGGGTAAACTCAAATGGGAACCGAAATTGTAGTGGGGGACAATGGTTCACCGGAAACACAAAGAACTGTCGAACGAACGTCACAACATCGCCCTATCGTTGAAATTTTCAATCAGGTGTGCGGGCTATCCTCTTTTTTAGGCACCCAGGTGCAAACTCGCTCTGAATGGAAATATGACCCTTTATTTTGATGTTCAAAGTAATTGGATTTTTGCACGTTTCCTGTCTGGTTTTGCTTGTTATGTTATCATTTTTTTTCAATGCGTAATGGAATTTCGAGTTGGGATAGATCATCATTCATAGCCTCGTAATTGCGTTTGCTTCGCGTTACCGTTAATGCCAGCAAAACGGAAATTTGAATCTTTCCCATCCAGAAGGGTTGTCCCCGGGGTCTTGTAATATAATTATGCTTACTAAGCACCCTTAGTGTACCTTTGATTGTAATTATGTTTGACAGCCTCGGGAGATGTCCCAAACTCGAGAGATACGGGGGTTTAGCGTTTCAAGAAATGCAATACCGGCTTTTATCGAAAGATATACGCGGTGTAAAATTACTACTTTTCTTTAGTTCGGACGTCATTCGTCCTTGGACAAGCAATAGGAGCATGTTTCTAAAATGAAAATACTACCAACACAATGTAAACATAACCTCTTGTCTCGAGTGTGCTCTATCCGACGTAGTACGTGGGATACAAAAAGGAAAAGAGCAAAGCTCTTGGTGGGAATATCGACCAGCGCATGTAGTACGATGTACTCTACTGTGTACTCGACGGTCTATGCCCCATTTATTATGTAACAATGTTTTCGAGTACACACATATTTGAAACTTCATTTATTAACTATTTTAATAAACATATTTACGTATCAACATCATTTATGTTTATTTTCAAACCTCCTTCTTCTTCATTAAAGC